TCTGTGGACCCTCCAGAATCACACACAAACACATACGGTGGTTGTTAAAAGAAAAAACACGGAGCTGAGAGTTCATTTGTCGAAGCACAACAAACAGCGACTGAGTGCTGATGTGAAAGTGATCCGGAGTTTTAACATGAGTCTGGAGGAAGCAGCAGCACATGGCGTATTCAAAGCATATTTTTTATCCTTATACTGTATACCTAATTTTGTAAAAATAAAAAAAATCATAATTGAGTCAATTAGATTTGTTTATTTTGGTAAATATATTTATTTTGGAAATAATAAGTGCTAAATTCTTATCCTGTGTCCCCATGTTAATTCTTTTTTACCTATAGTTATTGAAACTGAGTATAAACACTAAATTAATAACATAATACAATGTCGATGTCTGCAACTATAAGGACTTTTTTAAGTGTCTCTTAAAGTACAGTATTTGTCAGCAATTATTAATTTCGTTTTAAAACAGACTTATTTGACTATATATATGTTACTCTCACAATTACATTAATAAACCCAAGATTATATACTTTTGTCATGAATGCTAAATGAACTCAAAACAAAGTGTTTCTGCCACCCCTTATTAGATGCTAACTGCCCGAAAAAAAGCATTTAATGTGTTTTTACATCAAAATGCATAATTTAAAATGACATGGATTTATTAACCTCATCCATCATATCAACTGCACTTGATTTGGAGATATGGCATTATTTAAAACAAACATTCCTGCTGTTTTCTACCAAACTGATGCAATCAATGCATGTTATGTACAATTAAATATGGATTCAAATGTACACTGATATAGTTCTGTCATTAGACCTACTGAAAAGTGATTGTTTTTTAAGCTTAAACTGAATTGTTTGGTTGGTTTATTCTGTTACATTTGATTCAATAAACAAAAAGAAAAAAAGGAAATAGGCAAAAAAGTAATTACAAACAAACAGTTATTAGAGTTGAGGCAGTATAACTACATTATTGTTCGTTGATGATTAAGATTTGTTATTCATTTAGAGAGATTATTAATCCGTTCCGGCTGCCTGTAAGTCAATTTAACATGTTTGCATTTTCAGCCAACATAAATTAATAGTCATTCCAAAAGATCATTGGAAATGCAGAAATAATGTATATATTTTTTCATTAAATTACCGAATTAAATGCCCATTTTTTTTAAATGCCTTCGCCTAGAATAATAATTAGATATCAAATACTTATATAGAATCTATCATCACAGATTCTGCTACATATATTTAAAAATAATATATTACTTTTGACATTATTTCGTTTTTACCATGACAATTAAGATATATGTTTTTGGTTAGCTGCAAACACAACGTGAAAAGCAGGTTCCTAATTGTATTGCTTATTATGGCAGCTATGACAAATTAAAACCTCCATTAAAAACCGTATTAATTGAGTTGCAGCAATGGAGGCTGTTTACCGCCACAGCTCCTTCCTCTCCTTCCTCTCCTCCCTGCCTCCTCCCTCCTCCCTCCTCCCCTCCTCTACAACAGGCCACCCATCTGGTCTCCTTTCTGCTGGACCCTCTCGCCTTTTCCTCACTCAAATAAAGGTGCCAATCACTATAATTGGCACCCTGCAGATCAATTGTCCCAGCCTTGGAGAAATGCCCCTCGCTGAAGTCTGGGGGATACGCTGAGAGTAGTGTGTTACCTTTACAGCTTAGTCCTTCTGTCTTTTGTTTATCCTGCATTTGACACGTCATTCGGAGAGTTTGGGTAGGACATTATTTAAGAGGGAATTAGCTGACACTTAGGGTTTTTAAATCAGTTAGCTGTTGTCTTTTCAACAAAGACTTAGAGCGGTCCATGTGACAACCTATGGAGACTCAAAGTGTTCAGTATTTTAAAAGAGGTGGAAGAAATACTCAGGTATTTCACTTATACAGTAATACCTGTAGGTAAGTAAAGTAAAAGCTCTGCAATCAAAACTTCCCTTTACTACACTACAAGTAGAACGGTCAAATTACACATGATGCAGAAAGGCCTATTTTCGGCCAACTGGATTATAACCTGTGATGCATCAATGTAAACCACATCATAAATGTTCCAATCAATCAATAAAGATTGATCTTAACGGATAAAAACATCATATTTATTTATTGATTTTAATATCGTTCTATTCTGAGACTGCAGAGTAGAGCTTTTAATGTGTAAAAGGGAATAGTACCATACGATTTAATATAAGGAATGTGGATTTATGTATGTTTAAATAACAGCTATATACAGATTACTTACTGTATTTATTTGATCAAAAGTGAAAAACTGTCACAGATACAAAATAAATGAAATGTTGTTTTCTTGTGTGAAAATTGAATTGAATTGAATTTTGCAGTTAACAAAAGTGAATAGTCTAATTAGGTATCAAATTACAACCTGACGTTTATGTTTTGTTAATATTTGGGGAAATTGCATATTACTTGAATCTGGCAGGTTTCAATACGGATGAAATTGTATAATTAAAGTGGTCAAAAGATAGAATTACATGGACCACAAAAGGGCTTTTCATGGGCCTGCAGATTACTTTTTACATGGACTCAATTCAACGTGTTATTTGACCAGCAGCCCAAGTTCTTCCAATTACTTTTCATTCTTCAAAAGTATTTGTTATCGTCATGAAAATATGAGATGTATTTACCTCTAACATTGAGCAGAATCGCCCACATCATTCCACTTTTTGTGTATTTTAATCCAATTAATGACCCAAGGGCGCATCAATTCACGTCTTTGTGCGCCACCATCCAAACCAGAAGAGAATTAAAAGTCTTCAAAGGCCTCCACAAAGAGACCTGAAAAGGTGAAATGTCCACTACCTTGGTGTTTCTGCCACGCTAATGGAAAGGACGAATAAGCCAAGGTTTTTAATAAATATGCGAGTGAGAAAAGGCCCTTCCAAAAATCCTCAGTGAATAGAAAGAGCGCAAGCAGATGTGAGTCATGTTTGTAGATGTGTTGAAACAGAAACTCATATTTTCACTGAATAACCCTTTAAAAGAAGTATGATTGATTATTCAGTACAGAAAACGTTACAAACACACATTTTAGAAGCTAGTTTTCGTGGCTTTGAAGCAGAAAGTGAAGAACACAGAACACAGGAGGCAAATTACATAGACATATATTTATATGCATATGAATAAAAATACATATACATATTGTACAATATCTTGGCCGAGCGTGAAAACAGCTCTGTCAGCCCAGAAACAGAAGTAAGCCTCTTTAAATAAGTGCAAAATGTTAATGAGACAAAGAATTGTAAAGCATATAAAGACTTTTTTTTTTTTTAATGAATCTTGTCGCATTGTTTTTTCCTGTTAAAGTCACATGGAGCGGACATGGAGATAACTTGTGCAAAGACCCATTTATATATATTCATATATAAATTTATATCTATGTACATAGAGTTTGTTCATCATAAGTAGTAGATGGTGCCATTAGCTTGACATTAAGTAACTTTTACTGCTTAAAAGAAAGGAAGTTAAGGCCTATGCAGGACCTTGGTTGTGCATAAAGGGAAAATAAGATAAAAGGAACATTTCCACATAATCTCAAAAGGACTTTACCCAACAGAAAAACCCATGATGCAGTAGTGAGAAGGCCCAAAAAGCTTCTGAGATGGTGGTAAACAAGTGCAAGATGTCAAAAGCAACACTTCCACTCAGCTGGATTGAGGACAAATAAAACAAAAAAGGCTTTGTTTAAGCGGCAGGGCGCTCACATCCCTCTCCTATAGCTGGTCCTCGTCGTGAATGAGCGTACAATACAGTAACTGCAGATTTACATCACAAAACACCACCGTACAGTGACAGAACATGAGTCAGTGCTGATTCTGAATGGATGGAAATGTCTTCTGTAACCACAAACTCCTCTACTGTCACAAATATCAGAAAATGGGATCATTAAGAAGAGTTTGTTGTAGAGCCTCTCTTTTCCTAGTACAGCTCTAAATCATGCAACACGAAAATAAATATTCCAGTAAAAAAAACGTGACTGTTTTGCTTACAGGAAAGCATGAAGCACCTCTGGTGAGTGAAAGGGAGAAAAAGGAAGGTTTGTGAAAGGATACAGCGGCCTTACATGAGAAAGCAGCCTCCTGACCTCTCAGCTCCATCGCTCTGCTGAATATTTCATGCCACAGCGTGTGAATTATGGATAGTGCTTATAGAAAATAATACAGCACAAGTGCACCGCCGCAAAGAGCCCGGGAGTGGATAACAGGGGTTTTCGTAGTACTGCTGGGGCCTGAACACAACAATGACAAATCACCTGCTATACCGGCACTACACGGGTGCAAAAAGGCCGCCAGACAGAGGTTTTCTTTCATAAGCTGAGGTCAAAACCTTCCCATGCATTTACCTGCAGCTGGAAACACGCTTTAGACGCAGCCTGGCTTTTACTCGTGAGCAGCTTTTTAAATTGATGTCACAATAGTGGTCGCTTTTTCTTTAAAATAGGTGTCGAGCCACCTACAGCGAGCACATATTAAACCTCACAATGAGAAGACATGAATGGGTAGTAAGAGGTGGAAAGGAGAAGCAGCTGACAGAAGTTATGAAAAGGGGCGAGAACTCATCTGACACAAACAGATTGAGGGCAAACTGTGGGGAATTGCAGGCGAGATTTGATTTTCTTTGGACAACAAGGAAACATGGCATCATATGGGAAAAATACAGCTGATTTATGTGGGGTGTCTCAGAGTGGGCTGTTTTCTGATCCTGGAGTCAATTTAGGTTCGGGAGGATCATCAAGTGTCGAGTCTCACTAAAGCTGGGATTTTTCAATAAGGAGAAAATGGGGGGCACATACATGAGGATGTATAAAAACCTACTAACATAAAGTGCTTTCAATGGGGGGGGGGGGGGGGGGCAAGCAGGAGGGCCAAACGTCTAAAGAGGGGGAAACATGGCGCAAACACAAATAAAGAAAAATAAAATATATTATTGAAAATATTTAAGATGCTGCAATGTAAGCAGACCGTTATAGTCTCCTGTGTAAAAATACATTTCTTGTGATTATGGATATGACCTGATGAGAGAATACTTCTGATAGTTGTGATAAAATGGGCAACTTAAATAAAATAAAATGTGAAAATGTGGGATTTCCATTTTTTTTTCTCAGAGGCTGTTGTGGTTACTTGTCATATATGAGAAAGAATGTAAAGATAATTGTATTTTTTTGTAGCTGGAACTAGAAAATGTGTGGATTTAGCTTGAAATATGAACACAATTGATGATTAAAATCGAAGAAGACCCATTTGTCGATCTTGAAAGCGGCCTTCGTTTCCGGCCTACACACGTTTGGTTCTGTAAATACAATAATTGTTCAAAAAGTTGGACGGATGTTATAAAAACCTAGATTTGAGTCTGATTTAACGGTCAAAATCAATCAAAAACTGTACATTTGGGCTCAAAGGTCATATCTCAGTTTGACCTTGACTTCCAAAGCTTGGAGTCTCACCAGCTTCCTCACACACTTATCCTTCTTAATGTTCTTTTATATTAAAACTATGGGATCTAGATATGTGAGTTTTGCACCATTTGTCCAGATCCTACCACATTATTTCATACACTAACACAACCAAATAAAGAATTTACATAAAACTACTGCTGGACACCAAACAGACTGATATTTAAATGCTACGATTCTTTTTTTTTTTTTCAGTGTTTCTTCCATATTGTGATAGCACATTAACTCAAATCAAACATGGCCACTTGTACGGGAATATGTACTGAAATGTGTACAAACTGCTCTCTTTGAATTATCACTCTTCTTATTCAGACGCTGATTCAGTCTGAACTATCCATGTCAAGTATTATTTTTTTTTCCTGAACAGTAAAATTAAGGCTTGTATAGAGAGAGAAAACCACACGCACAAACTCACTGGACAAAAAGTGAATAGTCACTGAAACCACTGCGAAGAGAGCGGTGATAAAACATCTGTCTGTCAGGGTTCACGCAACACACACACGGCATTTCCTGCAAAAATTCACAAGTTTTTTTTTTTATGTGGGAGAGTCTCCGTCACATCACGTCCTTCCCGCCATCTTTTCACCATTTTGTGTCAACAGTGGCACAAAATGGTGCCGCATAGATCACATGATCCAGGTTTTTTTCTTTCCCCCCAAATCTGGTGAAAGTCAAGAGTTAAAACAGATTTGAGGGGTGGAGGTCTGAGGAGGAACGCTCTTTCAGAGACGAGTCCCCAGGTGTCGCGGGACTTAAGAAACCGTCTTCTTCCCACCATGATCCACCTCCTTCCTGTCCAGCCGCATGTACGGCTCAAAAGCTGAAGAACTGCACCCGTAGACGGATGTCAGTTCGTGGTGGGCGCCCCCCAGCAGCGGCATGGAGAAGCAGAGGGAGTGATGGGGGGGGACGCCCAGGCGGGGTGAGGGGGGTGTGCCGCCCAGCGAGGGCAGCGACAGCCCGAAAGTCCCCCCTGCGAGGGAGGAGGGCGGAGTGCCCATCCCCGGAGAGGTGGAGGATCCGCCCGGGCTGCACAGCAGGGAGCCGTTGGAGGGGTGGGGCCCCAGGAGGGAGTTGTGCGGCGGGATGGGGCCCGAGAGGAGGCGGCCCTGCTCCAGGAGCCGCAGGATGTTACAGGTGGCCAAGGACTCGTTGGAGGAGGAGGAGCGTTTGTCCGAGTCCTTCGTGGTGTCCTTCTTCTGTTTGGTCCGGCGGTTTTGGAACCAGACCTTGACCTGCAACAAGCGGTGGAGAGGAGAGATTCACGTCAGTATTTTTTTGTCGCAAACGCACACTTTGTCAGCAGAAAAGTCAGTAAAATCGATAAATAGGAGAGAATACAGGAAAAAGGGCTGGAAAACCAAACAAAACAGAAAACTATATCCTGAGCTTCACTGGGTTTCCACGTGGCGTGAAGAGAGGTCAGTAATACCTTGTCGGGCTATTATCATCTTGTTGTCATATGGGAAGAATTACATATTTGTGGTGTCTTGTTATGATACAGAATTCAAATTACATGACAACAAGGGAAAAAAGCGTTAAAAGAAACTCCGAAAATCTGTAAATTGAGAGAAAACTTCTCCATACAAAGACATTTAGTTCAGTTTGTGTTTTTCCATTCAGGAAATATTCAATTTTGCCCAGTTATTATAAATAAATGATTAATAATAAGATTTAGAAAGCAATACGTCGGTGTGTGTTTGAACGTATCTACAATAGTTCTGACACCAAACTAAACCAAACTGCTCAAAGTCACAGCTTCCACTTGCTGCAATGTTTCATAACTCGTGAACTTTTCACCCCCACTTGTGATTTTTAACATTTGAACACGCACAAATCACTGATGTCTTACACTAACGCACCCTGACATTACCCTCTTTACATGCCCAAAAGTTGTGGCTGGCGCAGGCTGGAAACAAGACTTCTCTGTGACCTCCGCCTGCTTCATGCACATCTATGCTGTAGCATGCTAACGGTGATAGCACGCAGCACCTTAGCAGTAAACCAGTCGAACACGCATACTGAACAAGCAGAGATGCTGTAATCCCCCGGCACAGGCCATTGAATCAAATCAGTTGTTTTTCTCTGCACATTTGGTCATGGTAGCACTTTACCTGCTCTCTCACTTCAAGGCCCTAATGTACATATGGGGGGAGGGGCAGTGATATCGAAGCTATGCAGCAAAGACGGAATATTATCAGTCACGATATGGAGACTGAAAGTAGAATAGAGGTATGTGCTAGAGTCTAAACATAGCCATACAGTGAAAACGTTGACTTCAATTAAATGTCCACAGATTTCACATACCTGCATTTAGGTTAGTTGAAAGCAATATTATTAAGTACAAATAGGTTCAACTTAATATTAATGCTTTCAACTACTACAGGACAGACATAATACATTTAAGTCAACGTTTCAGTTCTTTCAGTGTAGGATTTGGAGAGCATTTGCAACATGAAACATTTCTGGCTCAAGAAGGTAATAAAAGGGAATATTTTAATTAAAAAAACAGTCATAATCTGCTCCATCCTCCTCTCTCACGGCAGGTAACTTCCCCACATCACGGCAGCCGGCAGCAGGTTGAGCAAAGCTCGGTGAACTCTGCCTGTCCTTGTTCGCCGTGTTTAATTGATGGAGTGCAGCGTGGCTTTGATGTATAGCGTGTGGAAACGTTCGGGGCTCGGTGGGATGTTGTTTGGAGGTTCAACGCGGGGTCACGGCAGATCGCTGCACGGAGAGCACCAGCGAGAGGAATCACACACATCAAAAATGTATGCCATCCTGACCGAGTTTTAGTGTGTTTTCAGCGCGGTGGGTGATTCTTTGTTGGGCTATTATCATCGTGTTGTCATAAGGGAAGGATGAAATATTTGTAGTGTCTTGTGATGATACACAGTTCATATTAGATGATAAAAAGGGGAGAAAAGCGTTAAAAACTCAGAAAAAGTCTGTAAATTGAAAGAAATTAGAGGGATTTTTGTTATTTTTCAATTTTCCATGCGGCAACTATTAACATTTTCCTGGTTATTCTTTTAAAATGTATAAAGAATTGTATTTTGAAGATGATTTTTTATAGGTTGGTCTGTGTAGAGGAGTCCTTTATATACAAAAGTTCTTACACCATTGATTTTCATTGTTTTCACTATCAAAAAAAGGAATAGTGAAGTAAAAAAATATTGAAACAAGGCCCATCATAATGTCTTGTGTACTTCATTTACACCAACACTCAATTTAGATTTCCGGAAAGTTTCCATGGGAAGTTAAGCTGGGGAATTTTGGAAATATTCGATGCAAAATGTATCAAAAAACATGACATTTCAACAGATCTTTTTAAGTAGAACAGAACAAGTTTTAATTCTTTTATTGAACAATTATTTGTTTCATTGAAGAACGAAAACAGGAATGTTGAGTTAAATATTACTCATCCCCCCCCAAACCCACTCATTAAAAAATGAACAAAAATGCACCCCCCATCCAAAAATCCCCACAAAGTCCCATTCAAAATATTAAATGAAAAGATGTGGCTTCATTTGTCTCGTGCTTTGGGCTCAAAAGTGTGATTCAGTCTTCTCAAAATCATCTGTGCATGTGATGGAGGAATGCACAGTGCCTGTAGGGGGTGTGGTCTCAATAGCCATGCAGTAAGCAGTGTGCTATGGCATGGATATTCAAGTGTACTTGAATGGCATCTGTTTGTTTTAGTCAAGATTATGCTAAAATGTACTTTCCCCAACTATATTTAAGTTCCCTATGAAGAGCCAACTTTCAATTTAGAAAATTCCCAGTTTATTCCCATAAATTCCCGTTAATTCCCGTGGCAAGTTTCCATCTTTGAAAATTCCCGGAATTTTGCAACCCTATATACAACAGATTAAAGCAACACAAGGTCACATTGAGTAGTGGTTATCGGTAAATGTGTGGGACTAAAACAATTACCTTTATATTTTGGATTCTGGTCCTTCTGGCTGGTTCAATAACTTCTGATAAAATGGCTCAAATATGCTAAGAAAGATGTTTATCATGAAGCACAAAACTGATGCTTGTTTTAATACAAATCTGTGTTACCAGACACAACAACAACCATGTTTATTCCTCCTATATTTTGCAACCGTCCTCCCCTGCCCTCCACCTAAGTTCACCCAACACAACATGGAAAGTTGTTACGCACACACTAGACTTTCCATCAGCCTCTTCACAATCTTCGTAGAATTCCAGTGATCTAATCCCCGATACCTGGTTATCAAAGCACCTTTGTGCAGTCAGCACCACGTCTAAAAACAGCAATGTTACGAAGAGTCTCCTGATTGGTTGACACATTTGTTGATAGTGTGGAGGTAATCAGGCCGGCTGGTGGTATAGTATCACTGCACTCTAAAAGCTCGGCAGGCAGTTACAGGGGAGCGAGATTCTCGTACTGCCACTGACCACGATGCAAATAATGGGATCGGAGAGCTCAGGGAGGAATGCTGACGCCAGCAGGTCTTACTGTAAAGAACAGATGAGGCTGGGAGGGAGGGAGGGATAGTGGAGATGGAGATAAGAGGGGAGATGGAGGAAGGGAGGGATTATCGGCACAAATGATCTCCGTGAAGCTGCTTCTACATTTCTTCCCCGTTAGCTCACACACTGCCTCTCTGAAATCTCTCTGTGCATTTTACTCATGCGCCACCGCCTGCCGAGCACCCACCGCCTTTTAAAAGCTTTCATTTCAGATGAAACTCCCAACCTCTCCCATGTTGTGGGCGGGGCTTAATCTTCTATACTCCCATCCATTGGTGGGGGAGAGAAAACAAAAGGAAGCTCGCTTGTTGTGTTTTACCGGGGGATTTCATTAGAGGGAGAAAATGATGAGAAGGGAAGAAAGCAAAGCTGCCTGCGATACATCTACACTATTGGATGTAAATCCTTTTTAATGGGATCCAGGGTTCAGAGCAGGGGCAGAGATTACAGAGGGAGATCTGGATACGGCGTGACCTGCATTTGCCCCTGGCCTCGCCCTCTTCACCCCGCCCTGCTGCATTCTGGCCCACGAGGGCGAGGTCGGGGCATTGGGGGGGGATCAAGGACTGAAGTGAGGGTGGCAAAACCAAAACTAGTGGACGCATGGTTGTACCCTCATATTGTGATTGCGTTTTAAGGTCAAGCACTTTTTTCTGCAATGTTTTACAGTCTTTTTTTTTCAATTTAAGTGTTATTTACTGTATACTGCTTCCATTTAAGAAGAAAAACGCTTGTTCTGTATCAACCAATCCCATGAAAACAGCAACCACACTACCCTGTCCTGTCAGGGAAAAAGGTTAATTCATTATAACTTTTATCGACAAATGCCTCACAAAGATATGGTAACTTTAAATAAGGTTCAGGTGTTCCCTTATTCCAATGGGTACTGAAGTAAAAAGTGGATTTGTTGGGAACATCTCATTTCCAAACATACTATTTAATACACTTCTTTCATATAATCTGATTGGTTTAAACTGGAAATACATTGAACTACGGAAGCAAAAAGAGGACAAAATCAGAGCGAGGTGGGACGTCATTGCGCCGGATCAAGGGCCCAAACACAAGGTAGGGGATAGAAATGAGAGGGTGGGGTTAAATGCATGCAGGGTGGGGTAAACTCAAGGTCAGGGAGAGATGATCAGGCCGACATGCATGAAAACACCAGCCAATCGGGCAGAGGTCAGCCAATCACAGGCCTGCGTTGTGAATCCAGACAGCTGCAAAGAGAGCGGCAGGCAAACTGGGCTAGAGGTAGAAAGGTTAAGCCAGATCAAGACCCAGCGTACAGATCCACCGAGGATACATATGCGTCTATAAAATAAATCAGCTAAGCCCCGACCCACCATGATCCAAGTCACAGTTAGAATAAAGAAAATGTTTGCTTGTTTAGACGTATATTTATCTCTGTTTTTAATCACTTTACTGCAACTCAGCTAAGCGGAACTGGTCTAAGCTACGGCCATGGAGCGCATTAACCCAAACATCTAACGTGATATAACGCTCGCCGCTATAATGCCCATAATGCTGCACAGAGAGGAACGTGGGATTGTGACGGTAAAGTCTTTAAAGAAGGACACTTGGTGACAGTCCTTCACACTTTTCATGACCCCTCCAGCAGCTCGCTGCTCCCGTGCTGACCCTGCTCAGACCCCCTGATCACAGGCATGTGATGAGCCGCAGCACACAATGAAAACTCTTTTCCGGAGAGTTTGTACCAGGCGGACCGGCGGCCATT